GGCATTTGCTGCGAGGCAAAGATGACTGACAGCTCTTGTTGGCTTCGTTACCCTGGTTAGTTGGTTGGTTGCCTCTGCCGGAGCATACTTAAAATTTGAAATTAAATAATTAGTTGTTGGCTAAGTTTTTTTTCACCAGCTCGTTCACCAGTCGCCTGGCCTGTGTGTAGTGTAATGACCTTTTAAGTACTTTTAAGATACTAATCGCCTGATTCTCTAGCTAATGGCTTGTTGTGGCTTGTTTTTGGGGCTCGTACTTTTGTTTCTGTAGTTGAAACGGGAGTGCAACAAAGTCGCCACTTGGATGGCACTAATTAACGTCAGAGCGTTGCTTTAGGGCCACAGAGCGTTAAAGCCCATTTTCGTAAAGTTTCTCTGATGCGTATTAATTAAAATTTTGATAAGCGCCAGCCTCCACGGCCCCGCTAACAGCCCGCTCCAATAAAACGTGAAAATAAATTACACGAATTTGTATTTTATTTTTGTTGTATTTTGTTGTTTTTGTTTTCATTTTTTTTGGAATGTTTTTGTTGTGCCTCGCTTTTTAGCCTCCTCTTTTAGGTGTGGCGCTATTGTCGGGCGCGGCGGCATGGCTTATCGCAAAGTATCTACAAATAATGGACGACTAATAGGCATCTGCCCCCAACACCCTCCGGCTAGATCGCAGCCTGGGGCTCTCGACTATTATGTCAGCCTTTAAAACGGGCGCTTGCCAACGCAGCCATTTAGCAGCTGCTTGTTTTAAGCTGTGGGTGAAAGTGCCGCTTGCGGAATGTCTAGAATGGTTAGGCTTTGAGATATTGGGTTTCGAGGTAAAGGCAAATCTAACAGCTGACTAAAATCTTGGAGAAAATCGTGGGAAGCCAACTATTAGTAAGCCGAACCTATGTAAACACCCTTTGTCCTAATACAGCTAGAAAATGTATTAGGAATTAGGAATATTAGGAATGTACATTAGAATATTAATAAAAGGAAATCAAGCTTGGAATTATTTGAGTATAAAAGCATTCAAAAACTATACAAATTCCATTTGTACGATGAAAGTTCATTTTATAGCTAAAAAAAAAAACAGCCACCTCTTTAAACAATTTAATCAAGCTTTACACAAAAAAACAGTTTATTAAACAATTTATACAAATATTGATTATTTTATAATGATTATTTTCATTGTTAAAGAAAACGCTCATTGTCGTATCCATTCTTGTGTATTGAGCAAAAGCTTGTAAATAATACAAGCAAATATCCTTAAGTCCTGTATTTATTTAAGGAATTTTTCTTAGGACATATTAAAATATTATCAATTCCCACACCAAGAACAGAAAATTCATCAACTTTAATTGTTTGCAAATATTTAAGCCATGTCATGGCATGCAAATGTGATGAAATACCAGCAAATGTTCTCAACGCATAATTACCACACATTGTTAAATGGGAACTATGCCAATGCCTACTTTTTTGGGTGCATAGATATTTGTGCTACAGCACTTCGACCGTCTGCCCTTGGGCTGACAGCGCGACTCGGCCTAAAATTTAAAATACTTTGGGCTTTGCCTGTTTAAAGCAAACTGAACAATTATACGAATTCCATGGTGAATACATGCATAGATATTTTGTGTGGTTTACTTGGAAATGCAAAATTGAAATGAAAATATGAAATGCCAGAAATGCCGGCGCCGTTGCCTATGCTATATGCTATAGAGTTTGATAGGGTGTGATAGGTTTGAGATTCCTTAACACATGCGTGTTAATGTATTTGCATATTCTGGACAGCCCAAACCAGGTCCCCCATTTGAGCAAAGGTTTTAATTTTTCACAGTAAGTATATAAGCAGATCTCATTGTGTGACCTAAGCCTCAAGTAGAGGGTATTCATTGGGCGAGCATCGCGGAATCGATATCTTTGCATTTATTGTTTATGTCTAGTATTTAAATATTTAAATTGCTTTTCACAAAATTAGCCAATTAACGCGAGTACGAATTTTGCAATGCGTTAAACTGTTGTGCAATAAATATTGAATATTGATTTCATAATTCAACAATTGCATGCATGCAATTATGCATTGTACGCTAGACAATTGTAAGCTTCTGGAACACGAACACACACACAAGCACACACACACGGACACACAGACGGACAGCGAAGTTGCCCCGAGCTTGAGCAAACAATTGATATGGCTTTGATTCCCGGTCTTTTACTTACACTTCAACACTTAATTATTATATTAATAGGCATATCTATTTTAGCTCTAATTAACCTTTGACACATTGTGTGGGCTTCATGCGTAGCATTTTGACAAATCAGCAGACACTCGCACAAAAGCAACAAAGGTGATAGTTAAATAGGGGCCGGCAGGCAACTACAGCGGGGCAGGCTATCCAAAAAGGCCGTCAGACAGTCAGGCCAAACGGGCTAGACAGAACGACAGACAGTCACGACTCGTTATGCGGATTGTCTGGGTGTGCGTGTGTGTGTGTGTGTGTACAATTTGAAGCGACTCGCAATTACCAACGACACGTCAAGATGTGAAATTAACACCGTCACACAAAACCCAGAGACTGACAGACGAACAGACGCAGCGAGTGGGCGGTAGGTGGGCAAGCAGACATATTAATGTATCTGGTATTTAACATTCAGCAACAATCACATTGTGTGCGCGCGTGCTTGTGTGTGTGTGTGTGTGTCCGTCTGGGCGTGTGTATAGTTGACGTTGCTGCCTCGCAAATCATTAAATCACACAGACACAAGGAAAATGCAAAAGAAAAAAGCGCCTGCCCCAAGTTGCTGTTTGTGTCAGCGACACAATTGGCCGCCCACCCGCCGCTTGCCACCCACGTAGGGCGCCACACGCATATCCTGCCAGGCAGCAAACAGCAGACACACACACACACACACACACACAGATATACAAAAGAGAGAGCTACGCAACCACAACACGCAATACTCGCATTTCATTAGACACTTTGCAGTGACGACTCCTATTACTCTTGCAGAGCGCCACAGGAGCAGGAGCGGGCTGGAGGAGGGGCAACAATAGTTATGCCAAGTGACGTCGCTGTTGTAGCCGAAGGCGTTACCCAAAAGCAAAAAAAAAAAACTGAAATGAGTGTCCAAGTCGAGCTTGCCAGCCTGTGCGGTGCCCTGTACGCAGCTCGCAGCTTGAAGTGCGATTCATTCGAAGAGGGAAAAAAGCTGTCTATAGAGTAAAATGTTGTCGATCTGTGCTATACGTGAACCTACAGACTAAATTTGATGTTTCTAGCTTTTTGAATGTACGATCAGTGCAAAAAGAATAAAAAAGACTGAGACATATCTATAATTCGAACTTTATATTTAGCTCTGTTAGGGTCTCAGATAATGTTGATAGGGATTGAGCATATATGAATATATTTTATGGGCTCAGAGATGCCTTCCTCTGCTTACAGTATATCCCCTATTTAAATTTCATAAGAAGAACAGAGCTAACAGAAAAAAAGTACGTTAAACTAACCAGTATGACAATTGTTCTTTGAGCCTACCGCAAGAGGACTTAGTTCAGGGACGGATCTCAATTGATAATGGTTTGGGCCCATACAAAGTCTCGTATATTCAATACCGCCCAGCAACTAGCCACAAAATAGTGTAACTAAAAAGCAACTAAATTTTTAAATTATTATTAAATTTTTTTTAGTATTAGCCACGCAAACGCACGCATGCCCACCTTTTTTTCACAGCAATTGACACGCCCTAAGCCCAGAAAATATTCAAGGATTATAGACTTTGTTAACTACAACTGCTTATTAACGAACTATTAGGGAAATTTGTCTGCACTATATGAAAACTTGAAGATAGTTTAAAATGTACAAATGAAATGCAGAAGCAATCTGGATAGTTATATATGAAATAACGCGCAGATATGATATGAAGCTGTGGCAAATGGAATTTAGTTGGCAGAGCATTTCATAAAAAAACTCTATTCATTAAATATATATTAAATAATTAAAATATTTCTATTTCACTATATCATATAACTGTCATAGGAACTATCGGACGATTTGTAGGTTCCTGTAAGGCAATATATTTAGCTTTCCAAGATATTTTCGTCAAATTCTGCATTTAGGAGCTCCTCTATTCTGACATATCTGCAAGCTCTTAAGACAAATGTCTACAAGGGTATTAGATCTTCGAAGTGTCTAAGATATCCTCACTTTCTTCTTTTAATGTGGATATATAAGATGCATAAACAAGATGGAGGACGCTTCTGAGGACAAATCAATCTATTGGGCTTGGCAAGGGATAACAATTTAAAAATTGTTTAAATTTTGACAAAAAATTAAAGCAGCAAAGCATTTATTATGAATATAATTAATTTCTCAATTTAACTAGATTGCTTTGGATCCAGCTTAAGATATTTTGGATGGATTAATGGGTACTGTACGATCACCTTATTTAATTTCGCTCTAGTGCATAGTGGCCATGTTAAGCCCAGTTGGAGGACACACGCATAAAGCATGGGAGCTGAAAAACGCGAGCACATTCAAATAAAAAGCCGTCAACTCCTAACAAATGAGGCTGTCATTATTCATATGGCACGCCGTCAAAGGACTTGCCCAGCTGAGACTTTGCACATATTTTGCGCGCCTTTTCAACGGAACTTGGCTCGTGTCCTGGGTCCGTTTTGCTGGCGCTGCTGCCACCCAACAAATTAATTACTAACCAAGTTGAGTGGTAAAATGCTTTTCTTGTTTAGCTAACAATTTTTTGTGTTTTTTTTTTGTTTTTGTTTTTGTTTTTCGCTTTTTGCTGCGTATATTTATTTTTTAATATTATTTATCAAAATGTTTGCTTGAAGACTTGAAAATAAATTGCATGAGATTAGGGCGACAACTTTTCATTTAGCTGGCTGCCTTAATTTCCGGCCGCACGCATTGGAAAATGAAAATGTAACCCGAACCGAAATGAAAAATGGTTGACCAGACGAGAGTGAGTTTTTCTTTTTGTTATCTTATTGTGTTATCACTCACCTGAAAATATGTTTGACCCTTGTCCACCCAACCGATGGCCATATCCGCGCCAGCTAGATTCCCATCGGGCGAGAATCCAAAGCCGACATAACCTAATGTACGTGCTTGTATTTCAAATGTTATATCCTGATTAATGATTTGCCATAGTATGCGAAAATCCTCATTCAAATCGATGGCATGATCCCAAACGGGCGTCGCCTGTGATGCTGATGCTGCTGCTGCTGCTGTTGTGTTGTTGCTGCTGTTGTTGTTGCTGCTGCTGCTGCTGTTGCTGCGAGTGGTCAACTTGCTGGCCGCTTGCGCCGTGGCAAGCACCACGAGCAGCAACAAGAGCGAGCTGAACGTGTGGCAGGATATAAAACATGTGATTAACGATGACCGCCTTGAACTTGAATGCGTGCCAACTTGTGTTGCTTTTGTGGAGCACTGTGTTGCTGTCGTCTGTGTTGTTGCCGCTTTTCCTGTTGTCTGCCTCATTTTGTGCGCCATTTTGTGCGGAGTTTTGTTGGCTGCTTGGCTTTAGTAAATTGTTGTTGCTGTTGTTGTTGTTGTTGCTGCTGCTGCTGCCAGCGATTGCGCGTACGACATTTATTAGTTTGAAAATCACTGAAACGTAATTACGCGCGGCAGCAACTGTTTAGCTTTTGTATCTGTATCTGTAAATGTATCTGTTGCTGCTTGTTGTGTATCTTTAGCCTTGCCGCTTGCCGCTTGAGCTTCTGCTTTCTTTGGTGCTATCACAGTTACGATTATTTAGTAATGATAATAATGGCCACGCAGTTTTACTTTCATTCCAAGCTACTGCTGCTGCTGTTGCTGCTGCTTCCTGTTTCCGATTTGTTGCTGCTCATTAGTTGCGCTTGTCACACAAACAGACACGCACATATAAACGCACACACACACGCACGAACAGAGCAGCTGGAGTCTGGCGGATGTGGACGACCCTCTGTAAATAGACGACAAGTGAAGGAAAGAAAAATTATATAATTGCTATAATTTGATGTCGAGCTATAATAGCACAAAAGACGCTGCTCACAGTTAGCTTTCGTGCTGCAATGTTTAAATGCATATAATTACATAAATTATGAACCGGTATCTATAAGATTCTACAACATAGTTGACGTCTCAAGCAACCGGGGCTGCAACTTTTGAACGCACCACACGGCAGTTCGTCAACATATTCCGAAGCTTTAATTAACCTGGTCACGCAGTTTCCCAAGAACATGGCCCGAACGGCTGACTGACGGAGCAGAGAGTCACCCATGAGGGGAAACTAATGGTTAACCAGGCGACAAGCAGAGGAAATTGAAAAAAGCAAGGGCGGAACTTTACAAGCAAAATTAAAGTGCAAACTGTGCCAGGCACATGCATACTTCAAATTCAGACAAACTCCATAGATGTGCAACATATAATTCCCATATTTTTTAATAGAAGACAAAATACTTATATACTAGTTAAATTTTGATTTTTAAATAAAAAAAAGAATATATACTTCTACGATAAATGATCTGAATTGAAAAGTGATAAGCGAAGTGAAAAGTATAAAATAAAGAATATCTAACAAGTTGTTATTCTAAAATATTTTGTTTTTTATTACAGCTAGCTGTGTCTTCATCAATGAGTTCATCTTTTAGATCTTCCGCTTGACAATCCTCAGAAATTACTCATAAAGTCAGTTTGCACAGCTGTAAAAAAGCGTTTTGAGTCACTCGAAAAGTGCGCCGCTTTGTAAAACCAAATGACTAACATGGCCATAACTCAGTCGCATCTTTGTCGGCGCTGACGAATTTTGATCAAGAGAACAGAAAAGCAAACCAGTTTGTTGGATTCACTTGAGCGACACTTGAAGCGTACCGTCAATTATGTGGAGCTCGAGTATCATTTTGCCCTGTCTCACACGCAATTAATGCGTTGCTCAAAGCAAATCGAAGATAATTACGGCTTGTCATAGTTTTAATGAAGAAGGTCGCGTAACTGAACCCGCCTTGGGCCTACGCCCAGAACCTGGGCCAATGCAGTCCGATATGTTGTTTTAAATAGCCGTGGCTAACCCATCAACCGCTAGACCCAATGTCTGTCGGTGGATATTAGGCGCATATTTGGCGTGCGGTTACATTTGATAACATGCCAAAAGTCCGCGGTGGACTCTGGCAACGCCTCCAGTTTTGAACTTCCCCTCGACTAAAACCTACACACACACAGACACACACACAGGCACACACATTTAAATCTTTAATGCGATGCCAGCGTCGTTGTCGTCGGCGTTTGGTTAAATGTCAAACACGCGGCAATTTGTTATAAATAGCACACTTCCGGCCTTATAGATACACAACAGCCGGCTACACTTTGGAGTACTTTATACGACTATACGACTGTATTTGCACCAATTTTAAGCGCTTAGTCGCGTGTTCAAGTTGACAAAGGTCAACAAACGTAAGCGAGCAAACAACACACAGAAATGAGAAAAACGAGCCAAGAAATTAAAGCGAAAAAGCTAATCTAACAACAAGTCGAAAATTTGATGCCCTTAAGGCAATTAGGCCGCTGTGGGGTCGATTTCCAAAAATGAGAATTAACTTGATGTTTGCGCTTAAAATAAATGAAAATATTACCTAACGTTTACCTTTACCTAATTGCCTATTTGGCTGTACTAACAACGTGTTTTTGGTCTTATACACGTTTGCAATTTCTTTAGGCTCTTTGGACTATTTATCTTCATATAAAAAACAGTGTGACTGATTGATACCGCAAGAAGCTGAAATATTTACTGTAGTTAGCTGAAGATGCATGCTAAGATGGAGTTCGGGAAATTCCACCCGCACATGTGGAAAAATCGTGGAATCTTTTGTTTGCCTACCATCCGATAGACGCTAAGCCCATTTTCAAAGATCTTTGTTCAAATTGCTCGTGTTCCATCCAACTTTGCTAGTACGGGTGTATTTAAAATTTTCCACAAACGGAAGATGTGTGGAAGAATTGAATTTAAAATAAGAAGTAAGCAGCTTGGTTTGGGCAGGGCTGGGAAATGCCTGTGAGGGATATATCCCAATTATGCCAAGCTCAAATGGAACAAAGTGAGTCTCTGTAAATTGTTAGGCCTCAAGTTAAAGCGTTTTTATGATAAGCTCATTTTAATACAGTTAAATATCTGCATTTAGTGTTTTCTATAGTGCTGTTATATGTTCGTACATCCATTCCATTCCATTTCTAAACTAATGACAAAGTTATTATGCCCTCTGTTATCAAAAATGTATCCAAAAGATACACAACAATAAGCTTGATGGGGCACTCTGGGTTTACAAGTTGTTGTTGTTGTTGCTGTTGTTGTTGCGGCTGTTGTAAATGTTGTAGATGGCGCTGAGTGACGGCCGGCAACGTTAAATGACGTTGATTATAATTATGCGGACTTGTACTTTGTACAGAGCTGTCTGATGGGCCACAGGGCTGCCTTGCAGCCTGACTCTGACTACCCATACTTGTTGTTGTTGTTGTTGTTTGTTATTATTACTTCTGTCGTCATCATCATTATTATCAACATCATCATCGTCATCATCGTCATCCGTATAACATCCAGAACATCGTCATCGTCAGGCGTCTGTCGTCATTGGCATTGTGCAGCCGGCGCTGCCGTTCCTGTTGCTGCTGTTGATGGGCGGGCAGATGAATGATGTCGCTTAAATACAGACCGAGGCCGAGGCCGAGGCGAGGCCAATCGTCGATTGTCGTTCCCGTGCTGCTGCTGTTGACAACAACAACAACAACAACAACAACAACAACAACAACAACAAGAGCAAGAGCAGCAACAGCAGCCGTAAAATTCAAGCCAATTTAGCTTGAGGGGCTGGTCCGGCAGGTTCTTCTGGCCATAATCGGGAGTCGGACTGGGACTGAAACTGGAACTGGGACTGCACAGCATGTTGCTCAGACGACATTCATAAGTACGAGTATAATATTATTACTTGGCGAATTAACTACACTTTTTTTTAGTTGTTGTTGTTTTTGTTTGTTTCTTTCATTTTCTTATTTTTGCCAAAGAAAACAAACCGAAAGACATGGCCTGGAAACTGGTTACAAGTCGCCTGACTGACTCTTTGCACTGACTCACAGCTAAAAGGCACGAAATGGCTTCCGTAGACACACATTAGTCGCTTTTACACAAAACGTAGCTGTCCGTCCCGACAGACGCACGGACAATGTTGGGGCAGGCAAAAAGATGCACTGAATGGGCATAAAAGCGTTCCAAGCGGCACAAAAAGCAGTTAAAAGAGACGAGAAAAAAAATGAATATACACAAAAAAAAAAAAAGAAATACAGAAGCTGCGGCGCAAGTAATAACAAAAACTGAATACAAGTCAAAGACTTTGTCCATGGCTTTCATCATTGCACGATTTGTAGGAAACGTCGGCACTGAAAAAAAGAGCTGCCGGTGCATTGGCTGGACAAGTGGACAAGTGGACTCTGGCTCTGGGTCTGGCTCTGACTGGTTCTTCTGACTCTCTCGGACTGTCTCTGGGTTTGACTGCGGGCAATGCCAACGACGACAGCAACGACAACGACATTGATGAGGATGTTTTCTGTGCTGCACAGTGGAGCGAATCAATATATCAAATAAATGAAATGAATAATGATTATTTATGACATTAACTGCTTTTCTGAGTTACTCAATGTGAAGACCTTTCATTCATCAACAAACTAATCAGACAATTCCCAAATTGTTTTCTATGCTTAACTGTTTCACCTTCACTCTTTGATCTGCGAATTCCCAATATTCACATGCCTTTCACATTCATTCATAGGGCAACCTCAAAGCCCCATAAACACATGTATCTATTATTCGCAAATGCCAATCTCAGCTACTAATTAGCCGTGCCCATTTCTTTAATGACCTTTCAGCTGGTTATACCCTGCCACAATTAAACTGTTGAAACAGGGTTTGCCACCGAGGTATGTACATATAAACAATTGAGCTAAAGTAGACTCTCGAATAGCCTAAGCAGTTAGTTGTATTACACAGTATCTCCTTGGCTAAGCTCTTTGGATGCGCAGGATTTGTTGTGCCATCCCACTGTGCGTTAGGCAAACTCTTGTGCTTAGCCTTGCAACTCTTGGAGGCACAAACTCAATAGTTGGGCCCGTGCAATCTGCAACCGCAATGTATGTTTTCATTTAGCAGCTACAAGCAGCAACCGACCAAGTGCAAGAGCTACCGGGCTGAGGAGCAACAGCTTCAGCATCAGCATCAGCATCGAATCGTTTTGGTTTTGCCCACTTGAAGATGCTTCATCATGCGCCATGTAATGCGTATTTGCGACGAGCAGCACGGAGTTGGAGGTCTTGCCGCTTGCTGCTTGATTATAAATGTAAAGGCAGCGTGTATGACATGTAAGTTGTGTGTAGCTGAAGCTATAAATGTGAGTGTGTGTGTGTGTGTATCTGTGTGCTGTTCAGCACGAGAGAGAACCCAGTTGGATCGTGGGCTACGAAAGAATGACATTTTCTATAAGGGACTTGGACTTTTTTTTGAATTAATAATAAATAACAAATGTTACTTTTGCTGTACATCGTTTATTTATATACTTATAAAGCGAGAAGAGAAGCAGAATTATTATTAGTGCTAAATTTCATATGTCATGCGAAACTTGCAACTGTGGGAAGTACTTTGGCATGCTTAAGGCAAAAGTCCCACTGGGTCATAATTGCGAATTGCTTGTGCAATGCCTGTGTGTGCGTATGTGTGTGTGTGTGTGTGTGGTTGTCACTGCACCTGTCATCCTGTGGCAATGCCACAAAAGAAAAAAAAAAGAAGAAATAAATTGCCCGAGCAGCAAGAAAATTATTATTTATCGGCGTTGGATGCGGCCAAGGTAGAACTTGAAGTTGAAGCTGACTCGTCTTCGGCCCCGCCTGAGTTTTTTACGCATACATACATATGTTTGTATGTAAAAA